GTCACGCCCCAGGAAACCAGACAGGCCACACATTGAGCTTCCACCTTCAGTACCCACAAGGGGCTGCGATGTTTTTTAGGTTAGGATTGCTGCAGGCTGGGGAGGCGTGGCAGTAACTGGATCACAGCAGAGGGGGATTTCCTGGGCTGGAAGGGTAGGGGGCGCTTGGGCCTGTTGGTGCACATGTGTTGCTGTCCCCCATGTGCTTTGCTTTGCATGTGAGCACCACATGCAGAGGTGGCACGGGCTGAAGTGGTGGCAGGCCACAGTAGCACATGGGCTTGGGGAAGGCATTCGCTCAGTAGTTGTCCACGGAGCACCTGTTATGCTAGGCACTGCCCTATGCGAGGAGGTGACGACAGATGATAAAGCCACATCCCCGCCCTTGCTGAGCTGTCACAGGCTGGGGGGAAGGAGGCACTCAGGCAGACAATTCCTACCAGTTTGATACGTGCTCTCAGAGGAAGTGCACAGTACTTTGGGAACTCAAAGGAGAGGGGTCTTGAACCCTGTGCAGGGAATGTGGTCAGGGAGGGCTTCCTGGAGGAAATGGTACCCTAAACTGTTGTGCATCTTAATTGGAACCTTGACATTTAGAAAAAGCCCTCAACTTTCATCTTTTATATGTGAATAAGGATGTCCTTGCTAAGATTTGGGATTTTCTTACAGAAGAGGCCCCTAGCATAAAATCTACACATTCCCTTTAGGTAGGCATGGCGGATCTTTTTATCCTTATGTGGCGGAAGAGGAAACTGAGCTGTGATAAGTCTCAAGGGTAAGAAGACAGGAGGGTGGTCTGGGCAGAGGGAACGGCATGTGCACAAGCTGGAGGGAGGAGGCTTTTGTGTGTGTGCTAAGTTCATTGGCCAAGATTTGTACCTGTGACCGCCCAGTTGGATTTACAGTCGAACCCAGCCTGAGCCCCAAGGCCAAGCACGTCGGCAGCCTCGGCTTCCTCAGTGGAATGACCTTCTGGGGTGGCTTTGGGGTGACAGCTGGGGTGGAGCCAGCTTCTGGGGCTTCTGTTATCCTCTGGTCAGATGTTGAGCTCTGTCTGTGCAAACCTCCTGGGCCCAACAGGGCCGGGACCTGGGCCATTTCTGAAGGGCATTTCCACGAGAGTTGGGGGCCCCCAGGGAAGACCCTGGCTTACCCCTTCTGGAGGAGGGCTGTGGGTGATGGGGGACTTTAGCACCTCGAGGAGGGGGCAGAGGGAGGGAGCCCTGTGACAATCCCGGAAGCTGAGACTTCCTGGAGCCAACAGCTGGCAGTTTACAGCTCCCCCAAGGCCGCTGGAAGAACCACTAGTACTTGTTTTAGAGGAAGAGCAGACTGGAGTGGCAACCTGTTATCATTTCCCCAACTGCTGCTTTCTGGGCCCGCGGGAGATTCATAGGCGATGTGTGGGCCACGGGTGGGGGCGGGGGCGGGGAAGCAGGCCCTGGCTCGTGCAGCCCTGTGGCTCTGCCTGCCCCATGGCTGCCCTTGTCACCTGACCCTCGCATGCACTTCTTTCCTGCTCGCCCTCCTGTCCTCCCTGTTCCATCCTCTCACAGGAAACCAATGTGGGAGGCATCCTGCCTGCCTCGCTCTCTCTCCACAGCCACTCGGTGACCCCGGCTTGTTGATTTTACCTGCTTTCATTTGGAGCACAGTGCCCTGGGTCTTCCTCGGGCCAAGCCCCACCCTCTCCAGCTCTCCAGCAAACTGCCCGAGTGACCTAACACACAAGCCTGGTCCTGCCGGCCGGCCAGCCGCTCTCCAGGGCTTGCCCTTGTAAGTCCAGACCGCAGCAGGCCCTGGGTCCTTCACTCCCCTTCCACCAAGCTGGGACTTGCCCCCTGAGCTCCATCCCCTCTGCCTCTGCTCCTTCCTGAGGCCTCTGCCCAGTTTATGACGTCTCCCTGGTGAGTGCTTCCTGGGGAGACGGTGTGTCTTTGTCTCCCCCATGCCCAACACGGTGCCTGTGCCCAGGACTGTTGGGGCCGTCACTGGCAGAGGATGCAGCCCCAGAGAGAGAGGGTCGGAAGGACGGAGGAGGCAGGGAGGGCAGGTATGCGGCGCTTGCGCTGTTTTTCAAGGTTGGCCTTGGATGCCCGAGTGAGTCGGTGCCCGCCTGCTTGTGCTGTCTGTGCTGGAGAAGCGTGTGCTGCCTGGGTCGGTGCCCAGCAGGGCCCATTTCAGAAACTTCGGCCCCCTGGGATCCAGGGGAGATGAGGTTGCTTCGCCATTACCCCCCCCACACACACACACACACTTGTCTCCAGTGGACCCACCAGTGGGTTGCGAGGTGCAGGGCAGCCACTGTTGGCTGCTGTCCCGGCAGTGGCCTCACCTTTGCGGATTCCCAGTTTCCTGGACCGTGAACAGCACGGACCATTCCCCAGCACAGTGTTGTA